AGTACTGTATTTATCTACCTTTAGCACCTGGTACCTATGAATTGGCCGTCGACCCAAGGTAGCAGGTATGCACACACACAAAGTACGTACTAACACTACTTTATCCCATTTATATTTCTTATGAGAAAATAAGTAACGTCTGGGGGCACCGGGATCTTGGACTATATCTATATACATATGTACAGCGCTGGATTTACAGTACACTCGGGGCTAGTGCCCAGGGCGGCAAATTTTTAGAAGAGGCAAAATTCAGAGGGCGGAATGAAAAATACTTCACGTTATCGAAACTGTTTTTTATTTTACATTTTTTGTAAAATAAAAAAGATTAAACAGTAGGTATATTTTTCGAAAAATTGATATCATTTATAAGTTATTTCTTTGCATTGTTCAAAAAAATAATAATTAAAAAAAACTTTCAAAATTTTATTCAAAATTTCGATAGTAGGGCGGCATTTATTACTATGCCCAGGGGCGGCGCTAAGGTTAAATCCGATACTGCATATGTACAATAATAATTACTAAGGTTTTTCCAATAGAATCATTGTGTAACGTGAGTATATATGTGGGTTCGTTGGACGTAAATACTATCGGTCGTAAGTCTACAGGTTAAATTTTTATTAAAATATGATAAAACAATATTTATTTTATATTTATAAACATATTGTAATATTTCGTAATTCGGGTGTTCTTGTAACAAAGTGTAATAATACTACTCTCAAAGATAAGAGAAATAACAATATGAGAACTAAATTATTTATTTTATTATTATTTGCATTAAAACCTGCTTGACATATTATGATATTAATATTTGCATATCACTGACTAAATAATTCGCATATTTTTCACCTGCTCTACTTTAACTTTAATATAGTGATAATTCATTACAAAATTATTTCCGGCCAATTCAACTTGCTACTTTTTAATACAAGAATGAGGATCAAAATACGTTTAAAAAGAATTTCATATCGTACTTATGTCGTCATTACGTCGGAAGATGCTATTATCTGGAGCCTACGAGTATATACGAAGATCCAATGTAATCCCTATAAGATTACAATTTTATGATTATTCGCTACCATGATATATTAAGTATATAAATCAAAACAGTATATGTGAATGAAAGATTAGTTAAATTCACAAGTTTTATCTAGTAATATAAATTAATTTTATAAGTTTTTATACTATACTTGAACCGTAAATATTAATAAATATCTCTACACGTTATAAGAAATTTTAAACATTAAATAACGAAATAGCAGAAAACTCAGTTCGCTATATAGCTATGAGTTATAGAGTATACCTAACCAATGACGTCACAAATGGGCTTTTACCGTGACACAACTTATTACAATAAAATTTGTGTAACTGCGTCAATTCAGCAAGGCATCATGGCTTAAGTAATACTTTTTACTTGTACACTTGATATATTACCACTACTTTATTATTATAATATACTAGCTACTCACCCTCGCTTCGCTTGGGTTCGTCCCTAGCTTGATTCCCCATACAAACTTTCATCCCCCCCTTTCATCCCCTTTATGCATGATTTCCGGGATAAAAAGTACCCTATGTCTTTCCCAGGGTCTCAAACTATCTTCTTACCAAATTTCATCTAAATCGGTTCAGTAGATCCAAAGATTACCCCCTACAACGTCACAAACTCACAAACTTTACCTCTTTATAATATTAGTATAGATATACAATAAATATATATTTGTTAAATAATATATTTATGTACATAATATGTAAAAAAATACAAGTTTTAAGTTATTCATAATATATTTATAATTAATTATAGCTAATAAATAAACTCCGGTACATAAAATAAAAGTACATAATAGCATCAAATTATTATCTTTATAAATTAGAAATATGATTAGAACCTCTCCATGTTAACAACGTAAATAGTGTAAATTGATAAAATTGAAATTAATAAAATAAAAATATCCTGAAAAAATCAGATATGTATCAATAAATACCTACTTATTTAAATTGTTAAAAAATCAAGAATTAGTATATAACATTCAGTTATTTTATGTGGCAGTTTGTGGCCTTTTACTGTAGATTTTTGATGTGTCAAGTGGACAGTCGGTAAATCTCATTATATAAATCAGGAATATCCATACTAATATCATAAATGTGAAAGTGTTTGTTTGTTTGTCCTTCTTTGACGTCGAAACGGAGTGACGGATTGGCGTGATTTTTTGTGTGGAGATAGTTGGAGGGCTGGAGAGTGATATAGGCCATTTTATACTGCGGGAGATTATCGAATTCCTACAGGAAAACACGTTATAATACAATCCAAAAAAAATATGATCAGAATTATTTAAAACTTGGTATTAATACTGTTGAATAAAACTAAATTAATACGTGTTTTAGCATTTTTCTAAATTCATCCTATAAGGGGGTAAAATTGGGGATGAAAGTTTGTATGAAACTACCTTACTACCAGTTTTAGCGCGAGCGAAGCCGCGGGTTCTGCTAGCAAAAATATAAATGTTAAATGGGTATACAGAAAAACCAATATATATAATTGTTAATTGCCAAATATTTGTTTTCCTAGAAAATCCTTGAGCTATTTCAAGTATCATTGGTAGGTACTCATTACCTACCTAACTAAACTTTAAACGATATTTTTTTTAAATAAAAATCTTTATTGGAACAAACTGGAAAGTTACACTATAGATAATTGTACGTTATTGTATATTCTAACAAAATATTATTTTGTTTTCTTATTAAATACATGAGGGATTTGCGAGATTATAAGTAGGTATGCGCAAATGATATTTTTGGAATAAAAGGAGACGATATTATGATTTTTAAACTAGAATGGAATGAAAAGATAAAAAAATGATGTCATAATGGCAGCACGATGATAAGCGTAAACATTGTCTATACATATAATAAAATTGTAACTAAGCCGAATCTGTACATTAAATATTTTTTGGAACATCTTATTGAAATAAACATTATTATCAATACAGAGGCCGAATCTACAGTTTTTAGAATTTTTGTCTGTCTGTCTGTCTGTTACCGCATCACAGAAAAATCACTGGAGGGATTTTGATGAAATTTGGTATGGTGATAGCTGATTATCCGGGTCAACATATAGGATACTTTTTACCCTGGGAAAATATCTCATGTCTGAGAAAAAATACAAAAACTGAAATGTAAGATACTAATATGTAAACTAATATACTAAGAATACTAATATGTAAAACCTAAGAATTTGGCATCTGAACGCGGGCGGAGCCGCGGGCAATGCTAGTTGTCTATAATTTTAATAGGATAAATAGTGGTTTAAGAGTTTAAAGAGTATTATTGTGCTTTTATTTGCATTCCCGGATATTTCATATGATTATTTTATTACATTAATTGAATAAAATAATATTTTGTTTTAATGTACTACCTACATTTTCCTTATACGATCACGTCGTTATAGTAATCTTTTATGAGAATCTGTGCAATCTAACCCGTAGCGTCCATTATTATTACCTATATGTACGTGATTTCCAATATTTAGCTTTATTAAATAATAATAAAGGAATTATATTTAAAACACACAAAAATATAGATATGTCCAAGTTCAATTTTAATGTGTACTTTAAATTAAAGAAACAAATGCGCTACCATAATCATACTTATAAGCATGAACATAAAAAAATTAAAAAAAAAACACAAAAAAATGCGAGTGTGTGCAATTCACACATCGTAGAAGTGAAACTTCAGAAAATGATATGAATATAGAGTATCAGGAGTAGGATAATCATAAGGATTTTTTTATATTATTTTTACCAAGTTTAAAAGTTATTTTACATTTTATTTGACATAAATATTTAAACATTACATAATAATCAGTAATGAATTTTATTATTTTTCACTTCCTGTGTAATGTATTCTATCAAATAACAACGGTTACCATGGCATCATCGCAATGTATTCTATCTCATTCTATCGCCGGCTTAATCCTATATATTTATATGTTTGTCTCTTTTTACTGTCGCATTTCCGTTTATTAATCTCTCTTATATATAATTATATACATATTTTGTAAGCAGCGTAAAAATTGTAACCAAAATTCTGCGATAAATGTTTTTAAATACACGAATATAAAGATTTACATTTAAAATTGCCTATAAACTGTTTTTTTTTTTAATGATGTGAAACGCATTTAAACTTAGCACTTACCAGGTCCTGTGATATTCATACTCGTACATATACAGATTGTGTGGGGACTCACCGGCAAGAAAAAGTTCTAGAATAACTGATAGAGTCTGGATAATTTCTATCGCAAGAATGATTCCAATTAAATATTTATTTATTTTATTTATTTAGGTACAGAAACAGAAAACAAATTAAAAAAATTACATCTTCGTATTAAAAACTAAAAATATCATATTAAATTTGTTCTCCAATTATATCTGTACACAACATTCAAATAAAAACATATAATAATTATATATTTAACTTAAATTAATGCAATTATACGATCCCTCGTTTAAGAGGTCTGTAGTTGAAAGGCAAAACAGCATCCCTCATATTTTAATCGTTCTTTTGTCTCTTATTTTACTTGCAAATTGCAGATTATTGGTACTATGTAGTTGAAATTTAGAAGACAGGTGTCTCTAGCATACAGGCATATAATGCTCTACTTAAACAATAGAATTGGCGTCAGATTCGTCCTTATCCATTTTTTTTCCTTATTACCTACAGATGTAGCGTGCAGTCCACACGCAAAGAAATGAATGAACAACACGCAATGATACTTCATTTCTGTGCTTTACTAAGCACAGAAATTCTTAAAAAGGAATATTGTTCATCTTTTTTGAATTATAAATAGAGTAGGTCGCAGTAATTACATCTTATTACATACATACATGTATATTGTGAAAAATAACACGTGATTATGATTAATATGATAATGATAATGTCTTCTATCAATAAATATTTGTATATGTTATCTTAACAGTATTAACTATGTACATATAAGTAACGCCTACCTGTTTAACAACTACACGGTAGATATGAGCGTAGAAAGCCGCTAGTAAAACACTTGGCGTGACGATTGTGGCAAAGTACAGGAACAGTAAATAGTTGTAGTCCATTACTTCTACGAAATAGCACCCTGGGGCAGAATCAACAGCAGCATGCCATCCGAATAACGGCAGGAATCCTACCCCTGCGCCTGCTACCCAACAGGCAGAGATGATAACTGAAATAAATGGAAATTGATTTAATAATAGGGGAATCTTATGATCATAAAAAGACTGCGGGGGTACCTTATATCTTTTTATCCTCGCAGGAGGGCATGAATTTATTATATATTATATTATTAGTATATAGACTAAAGTATAACGAATTCATGTCCTCCTTATTCTAACTTATTTTTAGATATGGTCATGGCCTATCTATCTGATACTTGCCCTCTTTAGCGAGGAGTTTTAGTGTACAAATGCGTGTGCAACACGCTCTATTTCGTTTGTTCTTATGATCCGATGGGTACTCATCCACATTTCGAAACGAGAATATTTTTGGAATATCCTAATAAATGTTATCTATCATATTAATATAATTAATTCTATTAATGCAACTTGCTCATAAGGTGAATAAATATAATACAAAGACAAAACTGTCAACGAGCACACTAAAATTAGACTTAGGTATCCATTTTGTTGCATATTTATTTTATTAACCTTCGCAAAAGTAATGACAGTATTAAAGAATTACAAATATTTACTTTTCAAAAGCCACTGGTGAAAGCACCTCTTCAAAGCTTAAATTTTAGAAATCATTATGTATTTATTCTGGAAAACACAGAAACGATAGAGTCGCATCGCAATAAAAACCACCAAATATTCCAGCTACCATATGTTATTATAATGAACTTGATACATTATTCACTATTTTTGATGATACACGATTCGATAAGTAAAGAGTTCACAAAAAAAATTAGAAAGTCAACATTATAAAATCTATCAAAGAAGCACGAACGAAGGCCTCAAATTATAACCAATCGAAGTTTATGGTGCCCCAGCAGGACTCAAACCGGTCCTATTGACCTTGGGGGAAAAAAGCTTTGTAAAATTCTACTAATATCCTAATATAATAATAATAATGACATATTAATGATAATAATTATATGAACTATCCTACTAATACATATTATAAACTAGCAGAACTCGCGGCTTCCCTCGCGTTAAAACTACAAAACAAATCTAAAAAGGTAGGTTTTATAAAACTTTCATGCCCTATTTTAACTCCTTATGGGATGAATTTCAAAAAATGCTAAAACATGTATTTATTTAATTGTATTGAAGAGCATTAATAGGTACCAAGTTTCAAGTAATTCTGATGACAAATATTTTATGAGTTGTATTATAACGTGTTTTCCCGTGGGAATGAGATAATCTCCCGCGGTAAAGAGTAGCCTATATCATTCTCCAGCCCTCCAACTATCTCCACACAAAAAATCACGCCAATCCGTCACTTAGTTTCGACGTGAAAGAAGGACAAACAAACAAATACACATACACATAATAGTTTGTTGTTTTTTTAATGAATTATTTCAAAAGTAAGAATTTATTTAATTTACTTTGTAGTGATTGATCATTTCTAATTAAGTATTTATTACTTAAGTATTAAATTGTTTTTCTATGATGGCTGGCTAAGGCTGGTTGTAGAAAATATCAAAAAATAATTTCACCACTGCGCTATACGTTGCCAATTTGATCAAATCAATCATCATCAATCATCTATACAAATTACAATAATATAGTAACAAAGCGAAATCTGTACATATTTAAAGAGATACATCAAAACAATCTACTTCAAAATTGTAGGTCTTAAAAAGGCGTACAGAAAAGTCCATAGCACTAGCATATTATGTCTATCTACTAAGGTACACTCGCAATAACAATTATCTATTTAAAAAATAGCTACGGACGCACTTCAGTAAAGTAAAGTAACAAATCAAAACAAACCAGCTGTCTATAAATAATATGATTAATGATTCTCTGGAACTATTACGTATAGTGGTATTTCCACTAGATTTTTGAACAACCCGGACAAATGAAAATACAACACATTAGTGACATCCGCCTGTTTGTCGATAAGAGGTCATTGGCCGTTTATTCATGACTTTTTTTTCTACTCGTATAATAAGATATAGTCTTTAAATTTACTGATTGCTATTGGCTATTGCCATTAGCCTAGATTACGATCGAGATAAGAGAACATAGAAAAAATCGAGATACGCACGAGTCACAATTTTTCCTATTCGAATTTAATTCTGGCTAATATAGTTTAGCTTGTGAAAGTGCAAGTTGGGAACAATTTATATATTCATTTCTCTATCCCTTAAACTTGTCTTGTCGCAGAAACCTATATGACATTCCCCCCAGAATATGTGAACCTTATGGTTGTGGAACTTTTCTTCGTGAACCGCGCGAGCAACCCCCTGATTGTTGTGTTCAACCTCGTTCTAGCCGTCCACGCGACGTGGCATGATCCTGTGGCATTGGCAACACATTTACACGGGAGAAGGTACTGTACGGTTTATGAATCATTAAAATCAGTTAGGCCTTCTACTAATTATAAGGGTACATAAGATCGGACATACATACATACTACAAGTCAAATACATAACCCTCCGTTTGATTTCGTGGAAGTCGGATAAAAAGAGGACATTTCACGTTGAGCTATAATATTACTAATAGTAAGAAAAGCTATAAGAGCCCTAAGGGTTTTCATAGAACACTAGTAACTATTAAAAATTCCAATATCTGTTTCTTCAAAAATTCGAGTAGGTACAAGTTATTCATTAACACCTGCAGGTAACTTTCTAAGAAATTAATTAAATTTCTAAGAAATCTTTTGTTAACTGACACGCCGGCGTGTCCGCGGTCGTTGAGAGATAATTTTAAATGAATACGACATTGAAAAGAAAATTAAAATCGCATTCCTACATTTGTTTTTATATTTGATTTATTACTTTGTTTAGTTTCATACTAATAAAAGCTAATTTACCTATTATAACGTTATTTGAGATGTGTCATTAAATCATTAGTATAAAGAAACATTTACAAAAGGATGGATATTTAATTTTGTAATTATCAACTTATATATATAGTCATCAGCTAGTTCTACATCATCTTTTCAAAAATGAACGAATTAAATTGAAAATGTTTTTCACAGTATATTTTGATACCTACTCGTATTTACGCAGCTGACTGCTGAGTAGTGAGTAACAATAGGCCATATCAAATTGGAGCTGTATACTCACATGTAGGTAATTGAACATATTCGTCACTACCACTATTCATTTTCATTGTAATAAAGGACTATTCAATCTTTTGCTTATTCTGTAAAATTTAACATTCATGTATTGTATATATAACTTTTTTAACCCCCGACGCAGAGGGGTGTTCATAAGTTTAACGCGTGTATGTGTGTGTCTGTGGCATCGTAGCACACAAACGGTCTCAATTACTATTATATAGACTAAATTATTGTATTGGGTTTTAAATTTAAATTCTTGTTGTTATTCGTAGGGTGGGATTATTCCCTATAAGTCCAATTAAACAGATTTATGTGGTTATAATTTGCATACTAAAAAATCGAGCAAGTGCCAGTCTGACACAGCGATGACCGAGAGTTAAGTAGAATAAAATATTAAATTTGTATTATTACCTATAGGTACATATAATTTGTTACGTTTAAAGTGAAATAAAGTAGGTAGGTTATTATATATGAGAAACAAGTTAGTTTTACGGTCCAGCGCGTAGAAACAAAAAAATATTCTTCAAAACAATAGATAAAGTTACCAAAATTACAGAATTGAAACCGCCTATAATTCCGCTAACCGCTTTCAATTGTCTGATGAGTCAGCGAAGTCATAGACCGTGACTAAATATAAAACTCAAAAATATTTTTTTAGTCTGTACGCTACAAACCAGGCAACATATAATTTTTTTAATAACGTGAACACATTTTTATTGATTGATAAAATGAATGCGTTTTATTTATTCAAGGTGTAAAAGTAACGACAAATAGCGTACCCGTATGCATTCGTTACTATAGCATCAGTACTCGTTACTTTTGAATCGTTACTCGTTACTTTTGATACCCGATAACATACTCGTAGAGCATCGTATCGAGTCGTGTTGCGTATGTATTGCGTACGGTATAAATTATACGTTATACCGTATATCGTTGACGTCGCGTTGTTTTCTGTGGAATAATGCACGATCAACAAACCATTTCAATTGGAGAGTTACTTGATATCCAGAACCCGTAAATTTTGATTATTTATAAATCTATATAATTTTTAAAAACTTTACTAACAATATTTGTTTATTAATAATTTTTGAAATTAAATAATAAATATAAAAATAGGTAATTTAAAAATGAATAAGTAACGGCATCTATCACGTTAGTGTGACGTCGTAATGCATATTTTATTTAAAATCAATTGCGCGAATGATTTATCAAATCATAATCTGTATGTATTACACATAATCACATGATCATGTCTCACGTAGGATAAATAGATAATAATTGTATTACAATATTGTACACAATTATTATTTTAAAAGAGCCGTTGTTGAGTTTCTCGCCGGTTCTTCTCAGCAGAAAACTTTATTCCGAGCCGGCGGTAGTTCCTAACGGACTAACATTTAATTTTAATTTAAAATGTAAAATTGACGATTCAAAAGAGCTTGTAAAAGTTTATTTGAATAAAGTATATTTTGATTTCATTTGACATAATCATTTAGTAAAAATTATAAGTATAAGCCCTTTCTTATTAAGCTGTTTGAATTTTAAGGTTCCAAAATTTAGTAAGCGTAACCACGATATTTTTGACCTGCCATGTACTAGAACGAAATATGCTCGAAATACCTTTATACTTCGCTCATGTAATGAGTATAATAAAAAATTTACAAGTATAGACATATTTTCAAATTCACTTTTAAGTTTCAAAAATAGTATTAATAACCTATTGTTTAATTGTTGATTTTGTATTTTATGTATTTTATATTTTTCCTTATTTTTTATATTTTTTTTTATTATTCATGTTAAGCAGTGTTTCATTTTGTAATTTTTTAGTTTATTGTCTAGCTTTTTGTTTTTCTCTTTTTCATTATTGTCTGCTTCTTAAGTGTATTGTTTATTTGTGGAAACTTCATTGGTTTATGTGTCATCTATTATTATTAATTATTTATGTAATATCGTACTGTTTGTTTCCCTAAAATAAATAAATAAATAAATAAATAAAAAGTATTTGTTGGATAAAAAACTAAAAATGTGTTCTAAATGTAATGGTTGTTTCTAATTGAAAATTGTTTCTAAACAAAATTTTTAAGATCTGGAAATCATGCAACTCGAAATAAATAAATAAACTCTCTAATTTACTCATCAATGGTATTAAGTACTAACTGAAAGTTGTATTTTGCTGGATAAAAAATCAATAAAAACATTAGTACGAAAATATGTACGGAAAATGCGAGTAACGAAATGCATTCGTGAGTAACGTTTCGGTACTCGGTACTAGATGGCGTACCCGTTACTCAGTAACGAATACATACGGTTTGCTACAGCTCTATTATTTATGTTGTGATAATGTTTAATTACTATAGCAATTGCAAAAACTATATTCTAGATCTTGTCTGATATTCTTATTTTTTGTTTATTCACAAAAAATACTGATTATATCTATGTATAGATAGATACAAATCTATAGTGTATACTGTGTATTATAAGTGTTATGTAACAAATTATATAACTTTTTTCATGAGCCCCATAGTTCATCAATTTTCATTAAAAACCCATAATATATTTCAATATGCAACTATTTTTGATTATATAATCACAAAAACAATTTGAAAAATAAATATACGACTTAGCAGTATCTGTCTAAAATACAGAAATAAACTAATTGAACAGTAATATATTCATGTAAATAATTTTAATGATTCTACCTCAGAATATAGTAATAACTAGCATTGCCCGCGGCTCCGCCCACGTTCAGATGACCGAAAACCAAATTCTTAGGTTTTACATATAAGTATACTCTTACATTGCAGTTTTTGTATTTTTCTCAGAAATGAGACATTTTCCCGCGGTAAAAAGTATCCTATATGTTGACCCGGATAACCAGCTATCGCCATACCAAATTTCATCAAAATCGCTCCAGTGGTTTTCTGTGATGCGGTAACAGACAGACAGACAAAAATTCTAAAAATTATAGATTCGGCCTCTGTATCGATTATGTTTATTTCAATAAGATTTTCCAAAAAATATTTAATGCACAGATTCGTCTTAGTTACAATTTTATTATATGTAGATATAGATTTGTATTTTCATTGGAAACAATATATAAAGATGTATAAAACAAAATATTAATCTTCATTGGAAATTACACAACTGTATTTTAATACAGTAATGAGAGAGTTGAAACACACAATTTTACGTCATAAATTGAGCGCCGGTCATCTAGTTAAAACAAACAAATAAAATCTGGTATTTACACTTTTAGTATGATTATAGATTACTAACGACTCACCCTCGGGTTCGTCCCTAAACACACAAATCTATGTCAAAGGAACCATACATTTCAGGGATAAAAGGTAACCTATGTGCTATTCCAGACTATAATCTATCTCTGTGCCAAATTCCATTCAGATCCGTTCAGCCGTTCTGGTGTGTCATCAAACAAACATCCATCCATCCTCACAAACTTTCACATTTATAATATTAGTAGAATTAATATGTTAAATAAACATAGACTTCAGATGCTCAATGACATCAGAAGAAAATTTAAAAGTGAAAGTAGATCTAAATTTGCACACAAAGAACACACTATAAATGAAACAATGTTATTTAAACAAACAAAATGTAATATTACTAAAATATATAATAAAATATCACATTTAAAATAGTGGAGACTTCTTTATATAATAAATATAATACAATTTTTCCAAAAGCTTTTAATATTATTATTATGTATATAACACTTGCTACAGTACAATTTAGATCAGTCTCAGTTTGGCTGCTCTTGACAATATAATAAAAATTGTAACAATTATTTGAAAACTTGTGATGAACTTATAATTTGGTTAAAGAAGCATAGTATTAATAGTTATATATTTATATTTAATTTAAAGAATACTTGGGATATTTGTAGTTAAATTTTTTTTTTTAAATATCTGTTCGTCTGTTTAACCAATATCTTGCACTTCATAAAGGTTAGACAGATTTCACTCTTAAAATTTATATTTTTTAACTTAAAACTAAAAAATTACTTGGTTTCTTACATTCATAAGTATCTAGCTACCTAAAACTGTAATTAGGATGGATGTACTTTATTATGCAACACACATTGCCAAAACCACAGCAAAAATAGAAATAATGGGTACATTTCTCATAGCTGAATTCCTCTTTAGAGATTGGTTTGCATAACTTTGTAATAATCCACAGGGCACTGCCTTTTTCATATTACTGGACGGACTGTGCCTTATAACATAGCACTGCATTCCCGGAGTCACATCAATAGGTTTACCCTTCACATCTATTGCATTTACTGTTGTGGTATTAGTTGTTGAAATTGTAACAACTGAAGTCATGCCACCATTAGATGTCATATTATTTGAGATGGCTGTAGTATTAACAAGAGTTGAATTAACAGGCACTAATGTACCATTGGGTAGCATTTCATATAGAGGATTTGCATTTACTGGGGAAGGTGGATGATCTACACCATTTGTGTTCACGGTAGTAACATTTGTCACTGTTGTTGTTACTACAGTGGCATTTGTTCCTGAATTATGTGAGCGGTTAGCTTCTTCTTGGTAAATAAAACTTGAAATCAAGTTACATTCTATTCTAGTCTCTTCATAATCTCCATTATCTTTCTTTATACCGAATTTACACACCTCACCAGGCTGTGGTTTGTATTCAGAGTTACTGTGGCCTTTGCCCAGAGAATAAGCAGCCACACCAAGTGTTCCAAGATTAAGAAGGGCTAATCCTGTGAGTAAGGTGCCATATTTGCTTCCGGAGTCCTTATATTTATAAACATAGGTTGGAGGTGTTCCATGATAAACTGGATAACTTACTGGTGGCCCACCATGTGTAGGTGTGTATCTTATTTGTTGAGGTGGATTGTAGTTGTAGTGGTAATGCACATTTGTAGTAGAGGCACCTGCATGACTTGGCGAGTTGCCCGATAGTCCTTTCCCAGCTGGATATCCATGACTACCCGTATTAGTATTGGTAGGATAATTATGGCTTCCCCCAGATGATGGGTAAGTATGACTTCCTCCAGATGATGGATACCCATGGCCACCGCCTGACAACCCACCAGAAGAGGGATATCCATGGCTGCCTCCAGAAGACGGATATCCATGTCCACCACCCGAAAGACCTCCGGATGACGGATAAGAGTGGCTGCCACCACCGGAAAGGCCACCGGACTTTGGATATGAATGTCTACCAGAAATTCGTTTTGAGGAAATCACATCACTATTAAAAAGTACACAAAGTATACAAAATAAAGTATAAGTGTAGCGAAGCATATCGCCGATTTCCAATTTCACAATTGCACAATATGAAAACTATTCTTGTTTGTATTTACACTATGACTCCTGCGCACGAAACTGAAGAAATATAACTCTAAAATTATACTAAACTATTGACAAAGCATAGACTAATAATACATAGACAAAAATATACTGAAGCCTAAACGTTATGAATCGAACGTACGTGGTGTGAGAGAGAGACAAAGCATGTACACTACGGTGCACAGTTATTTGTATTATAAAGGCCGCTACAGATCATAAGCTTTGGACGGCCACGAACCGGATCTAATTTAAAAAACGCATTCATGATTCATTGTTTACAAAATACGATCGGACCGGACACCTCAGTATACATTTACATACAAGTTAGCAGGTAAGCGCTCTGTACATGATATATTTTGTACATACATATTTACGTATGTGTCTGTGTACTTCGGACGATTATTATATTCGTAAATTAAATTATACCATTTTCATTTTATTGTAAAAATAATAACTTATCCTCGCTTCGCTTGGTGTGTTCGTTCGTTCGTTGGTACTTGGTTCCTAGGTGCCTTTCGTAACTTCCTACAAAATAACGTATTTTCTTGATATACACATAATTATAATACTAGCGTTTGCTCCCGACTTTGTTCGCGTTATTCATTTATTTTGATTTAAAATTTTTTTAATCTTCTTCAATAAAAAAACTACAACATAAAATAAAAAATCTAATCGGATGGGTTGTTCCAGGGACTGAACGTGCCGAGGTGGCGAAAATGACTACCTAAATGCGAGTAGAAAGCTAGCTATCGTGAAAGATGTCGGAGATCTGCCTCGGTAGGCCAGCCGTCAGAACGTCGAGGCTAAATACATTAATAACTCTGTGGTGACCAATTAAAACGGAGAAAGTTCCAAACATATACCCAAACACAAAGTTAGATATTTGTATAGTAATGTGACGAGTAATGTGTTTATAGTTTTTTTTACATTTACATCTATACTAAATACTAATATTATAAAGAGGTGAATTTTGTGAAATTGTGAGTTTTTGACGTCGTAGGGGATAATCTCTGGATCTACTGAACCGATTTAGATGAAATTTGGTAAGAAGATAGTTCGAAATCTTAGAAAGGACATAGGATACTTTTTATCTCGGAAATCATCCCTTAAGAAGGTGAAAATGGGGATAAAAGTTTGTATGGGGAATCAAGCTAGGGACGAACCCGAGTGAAGCGAGGGTGAGTCGTTAGTATAATATAAAACACTATAACAGCAACTACCGTACTACGTCGTTCCTAGTTTATGCCCACTACTACACAAATATCTGACTTAATCAGTAATATATTAAAACAACGGGTGTTACAAATATATATACGTGTTTCCACACACCTGTGTGACCCCACATGACGAATAAAGAGGACTCTTACTATCTTCGAGTAATCAATACTTCTATATTACATAACTAGTGTTTTTATGTGGCTTCGCATGCGTACTTCGATAAGATATTACTATATTTTCAAAATATGTGCTTTCTGATGAATAAGCTTTATGACTGTAAAGTTTCATCCGGTCATTAGTTCGTGAAAGAGACATTCAGCTATTCTGACAAGCTTTCAAATTTATAATATTACTAGCGACTTACCCTCGCTTTTACATTTAAATTTTTTTGAGCAGAGCCCCAATTCTTTTTCTAATCTATCTTTTTCTAAAATGAAAGTAGCCTCAGTTATTTCTTATATCATCAGCTATATGTCAGTGAAAGACCCGTCAAAATTGGACCAGCCGTTTCGGAGAGTAGCCGCAACAAACAGACAGACAGACAAAATATTTTTAAATTGTGTTTTTCTTAAAAGTACCGTATAAAATTTTATATGCATTTTAGTAATAAGTTGTTATTTTGACATTACAAACAGATACTTTAATTTTATTTATCTGTATAGATATTACTATTTCACCAAAGAAGGGGAATGTAGAAAAGTGCACGAGTGTATTATTTAATTATACACACTTAAAAACACAATTTAAAAATATTTTGTCTGTCTGTCTGTTTGTTGCGGCTACTCTCCGAAACGGCTGGTCCAATTTTGACGGCTCTTTCACTGACATATAGCTGATGATATAAGAAATAACTGAGGCTACTTTCATTTTAGAAAAAGATAGATTAGAAAAAGAATTGGGGCTCTGCTCAAAAAAATTTAAATGTAAAAGCGAGGGTAAGTCGCTAGTAATATTATAAATTTGAAAGCTTGTCAGAATAGCTGAGTGTGTATACACTTCTCTCTTTTACCAGTCCTTCTTAATATAACGTGTTTTCTCCATTCTACGCGACATTGGCGAAGTATTTTGTGCCCAATTGGCACTCCTGGAAGCCACTAAACAAAAGAATAGAATAGAATACACACTATACTCCATTGCCATCTTTTAGGAAACAAAAAAAAGGATTATTGTGGAAATTAAAAATGTTATTTGATTCAATTATTATTTTTTTATATTCCGGATTCATATTTAAACATGATTTTTATATTTCTTTCAAGATAATAAGTAATAACAAACAAAAAATAGGTTTTGTGTATAATGTCATTATTTTCATAATCATATATTTTATGTAAATACATTAATATTGAATATATGTATATACTTAGTATATTATATGGCGAAGTGTAAATTTGAAAATAAAGCAATATTATGTGAGAATAAATTAAAACAATCATCTCAGTCTCTTTGTCTCTTTCTAATATGTTGTTTCTCTATAAGCCAGACGCTCTGTCCAATTTATACTGTAACAATGAAGTTCGTTCAAATGACAAATCTCATTAATGTCAAATGTCAATTGTCACAACGCAAAAACATGACACAAACACATTATTAATTAAATTGTATATTAAATATTTGGATAGATTTTTATAGATGTGTAAAAATGATAGGTATTAATTCCTTAGGAAAAATAAAATAAATAACATTCTATTAATTTTAATTTTTTAGAGCTGCTGTAAACGTATGTGTATAATAAAGCAATTTTAGTGTGTAGAATTACAGAAAGATGACTTTATAAATTAAATAATCTGTCTACCATTAAATATGATGATCTAAATATAATACACGTCAAATCATTTACATTTTACACATCAAATCACAGCTAGTGATGTGCCAACTCGGAAAAAATATAACTCGAGTTAACTCGAGTTGAAATTCACGTAACTCGAGTTAACTGGATGAAAAATGAAGTGAATGATTTGTTTTGTTCGTATCAATTTAATGACTCGGCTTCGCAACAATATTAATAAAATGGTACAGATTCTAAATAAATATTTATAAGAACAATTATAACTATTTATATTTTTTATATTTATTTATTTATATTATTACTAGCAGAACCCGCGGCTTCGCTCGCGCCAAAAATCCAAAAAAAACACTCAAAAGGTAAACACTAAAAAGGTAGGTTTCATACAAAATTTCATCTGCTATTTTACCCCTTTACGGGATACATTTCGAAGAATGCTAAAACATATATTTATTTAATTGTATTGACGAGCGTTAATACCAAGTTTCTAGTAATTCCGATCATAAATATTTTTTTGGGTTGTATTATAACGTGTTTCCCCGTGGAAATGAGATAATCATCCGAGGTAAAAAGTAGTCTATACCACTCTCCAGCCCTCCAACTATGAACTATCTTCACAAAAGAAATTACCCCAGTCCGTTACTCCGTTCCGACGTGAAAGAAGGAGAAACAAACGTACATTCACATTATTAGTATGGATATTATAACGCTGTCATTCGGTTGAAACGCTATGACGGGAGTACAGACGACAGCGATTAAGTTAAATACTGTGGCATCTTATTCGGTTGTAATAGGAGCGATTTTGCAACATAAATGTATAGTCTGAAGGCTGACGACTGTACAAAACATGAACACAACGAACGAATCGCCGCGTCTGCGTAAGGTCAATCGCGTACTAGCTTGATTCGTTCATTTACCACGCAAATCCAATTCGAGTCAAAGAGAATTCAACTCGAGTTAGTTCGAGTTAAGCCCAACTCGAGTTAACTCGAGTTAACACATCTTTAAGTTGACGGCAGAACTGGATTGCACACTTATGAGGATAATATGTTTTATTTTGCTATTTTTGCAATTAAAGAAATGTTGTAAATATTTTTATTTTAAGTAAAAATTAATAACTCAATTGTTACTTGCTGAACTGATAGTGATGAAAATGAGTCTATTAAATTTACCAGTCGAAATTCTTGCTAAAATTTTTCATCAGCTGGATCTAGTTTCATTATTTAATTTATATGGTACTTGTGGACGATTGCGACAAATTATAGCCTCAGTTGGAGATGTAAAAGTATGCACTTTATCAATGAATACTATGGCTACAGTAAATACACTAAAATTAGCCTTCTTCAAAGATATATCAAGAAATATACAAGAGTTAAACATGTGTGGTATATGTGATTTAAATAAGAAAACACTAATATCTAGTGTGAGTAAACTAAAAGGTCTAAAAATATTAAATATTTCTTACACAAATATCAGTATTTTAGACTTTATTGAAATTTATCAAGCATGCCCAAGTATAAAAAACATTACAATAGATTTTACTTTTAATAATCAGAATATATTAACAAACGAGACATTAATACAATGTCAAGAAGTATTCAGGAACATTGAGAGTGTCAATTTTGTTGGAAATCGTGGCAATTTACTGTATTCAGAACTTCCATGTATTATTTTAAATAAAGCAAAGCTAAAAACACTGCAAATGCAAATGCAAGTCGTGAATTGTGAGATGGTTGTTTATGTATATGAAGAATGTGAAGAGAGTTTATACTTTGATGAATTTTGCCTCTATTTGTTCGATGGATTAAATCCAAGGAGATATTATTGCTCTCTCCTTAAAAGGTATTTATTTAATATGGTCCACTTCGAAGATTACGAAGTTATTATTATATTCAAATTGGATGCTCCAAAGAGTACTATATATGCAACACCTATATTTGAAAGCTTTTTTAGCAAGCATTTTGATTTAAATGCAGAATGCCTTTTAGACTTTGGTGTTACTATAACTGGTAATGCTTGTGTAATGCTTTGGAGTAAAAGAGTTACACAATTTGATGAGGCATTTTATAAAAATCTATTACAAAAATTGAAACCACTTTTTCCATTTTCTTTCAAGTCATCAGCAAATACTCCAGTTCCTTTAAGCTATGATTGGTATTGTACTATTCCTACACAAGAGAATGATTTAGGTTCAAGTTCTGTTAATGAATTGGGCTTTAAAAGGCAGAGATGTGTACAACCAAATTTTATCATAAACTATGATAAGCAATTTCAAAATAAATCTCAGTTGCAATTAAGTTTACATTTCAATGGTAAAATTAAAAGTGGTGTTACATTATCAACAAATAGTGATTATTTAAGAAAATTAACTTATTTAAACTTATGTGGTTTTGTGCAATATAGTTCAGATTTTTTTAATTTATTATTTCAATGTTGCAATCAACTTTTGAGCTTATGTTTTCATCTATGAGCCAGTGTAATACATTAGAAAATGTCAATATATGTGATATGTCTTCAGACATTTTTAATTTAACCGACCCATTTATTATGTTTCAAAAATGTAATAATTTATATTGCTTATATGTTTATGGATCAGTAACAGATACTAGTCGATCTGAAAAATTAAAAATTATTAAATCTGCCAAAGCAAAGAGTCAAAAATCACACTTAAGAGTAAATGTGTTTAACAATACAGAATTTTGTGATGATCCATTTGTTGCTGTATTTAAATTGAATCAAATAAAACCAATTTAACAGTACATTGCTGCACTTTATTTTTGTACAATACCAACGACCACTCAGCTCGACGGGCTAAGTTGTCGTTGTACAATACTAATATTTACCACTGATGTTTACACCTTTGATGTTTTCAGTCACCTCTTATTACTGAACAATAAATCAAAAATGTATAAAAATTAAAAACCAAAATTCTATTTTAGAAGTTTTAATTTATTAAACAAATTTAGGTGAAATTAAAATATTCTTAAAATAGAAGGTATCATATTTCCATAAGTTCATATTTGAGGTGTAACTTTGGAGCCTCTGGAGCTTACAGCTGTTATTGCGAGATCAGAGAGATAGAATGCCAAGTACAGCACTTCCTTCACAAGCAAATGTTAAAACTCTTTTAAAGTACCTATTGAGTATTGACTATTGTAGACATCTTAGTACGTCGTCACATTTACTGAAAAAATAATGTCAGATTTTTTGTATCGTTATAATCCATACTTATTGTTAATATTATACATTTGTAAGTGCGTGTTTGTTTATTTGTTCGTACTTCTTTCACGTCGCAACAGAGCGACCGATTGGCGTGATTTTTCGTGTAGTTTAAGTTGGAGAGCTGGAGAGTGACATACTTTTTACCGCGGGACATTAAGTACCTCATTCCCACGGGAAAACACGTTATAATAAAACCCACAAAACTAAAACGAATTAACGTAAATTTTAAAAAATAGTAGTAGAAACAAGCGAATTTTAATTTCCTCGTTCGCCCCTTAAACTTAAAACCTCCATGACTCGGTTAATTTTGACCGGAGGAAAAAGTCGTGACACTCTTTGTAAAATTTTAAGCTCTACACATTTTTGTTAAAACTTTTTTGTCTAATTTTTACCGTTTTCGAGTAATTTCGAAAAAACATTTTTCACAATTTTTTTTCAATTCTTGCCTGGGGTTGCAGACACGAAAACCTTTACACATTTTTTTTGTATCATTAAAACCATGGATGACAAACTCGAAACTACCGATTTATAAACTACATTATATCAAAAAATGCAAAGTTGAGTACCAAATTTTGATTTCAGATATTATTTGACTGGACTATAAGAAGTGACAACACACTGTATTATTTCTGTGTAATATAATATGTAGTTAAGTCTTTTTTTAGTTTGATATTTTAAATGGATCCCATTCGATATAATAATTTAATAGTGAATCATTAGTATATTAAATGGGATATTAGTACTGTAAGGTTGAATTTTTATATATAGAGTGTTTTAATAGAAAATAATATATTTGATTAATTTGTAATGATTTATGTACTTATAAGGCATTTACTTATGTGACCTTTGGCCGATAGATAATATGTGTTTTTAAAAAAAAATCAAAAGGGCGCGGATATTCATTTGTTTTCCCGCGCTTTTGCACAGAGATGTCAGTATTCAAAGCACACTTCACATCGTATATGCTCTAGCCTTAACTAACACCAAAGCTACTGCGTGATGCGTCACTTCCATTCTCTTAAGCCGTCAATGGGTTTTATCTTGTCTCATATTTAGTCTGAAACTTTTTTTAGGTTGGGCGTCATAACTTACCTCCATAATATGCAATATAATTTCTAAATATCTAGCCCGAGAGCTCCTGACGAATTTTGGGAAGGTCCTTTTGGTAAGTTGAAATTGTAAAAAAATATAATTTCGTGAATTGGCGAGTAGAGTCCCGCGAGTCTGGTATAGCGTTAGCGGTTAATTCGTTACTGCGCAGTATATAACATTTGCAAAAAAAATATCTGGGGTTCTTTTTTTTTTATTATATGAAAACTAAATTAAAAGATTAAACAAAAATCAAGTTACCGAAAATATTATAGTTTTTTTGGATTTTTTTTTTCAAACAAAAGCATAACCAGCCGATACAAAGCAAAGCACACCGACTTCGAAAATATTTAATTAGGTTTGTATAGTAAATGAAAACTACCAATCAGTTATTTTTTACTTTTTAGTGCTTTTGTTTGAAGTCGGTTTTTATTTTTTTGTTAAAAAGTTTTTATTGACAATAGTAGGTAAACTTAATGAAGTCATTATGAGGAAATTAAAACAAGTTTATATTGTATTAACTATGTTTATTTAAATATTATCTCAAAATATTTTACGCCTTATTATTTTTTACAGTTAAAGGCTTGAACTTAGATAATGAATGTTAAAAAAAAATGTGAAACATGTTTAGGATGGCACGTAACACAATGTAATAATAATTTTAATTCTATGTTTATATGCCGATGACCTTATCATTTGCAATATGATAGACGGAAATTAAATTTTAGTGACAAATATGAAGATGAACACAACATATTTTATTTATTGTATCATTAAACTATTAATTTAAATTTAAGAATTATAACAAATGTTTATTAGTAAATTTTTATACTCTATAATTTTTTTTAAATGAAATGTATATTAAAAAAGATTTTAGTATAAAATTTTAAAATAATAATAATAATTAATAGATACTAGTATTAGTATAAATGCAATCAACACAGAACACTACACTTTACACGGCGATGAACATTGACATCCACCATGGCGGGTTAGAAAGCCATGATTTTAATTTAGTTCTTGAAGGTAGGATGGGACTATCCGTTTTTGGTGGTACTGGCATTTTCGAGTATTTTAATAGCGTTCCACAATCGACTTTTGTGCTAAATCGAGATTGTTTTGTAATTATTTCAACTTCACATTCCATATTTGAGGTATTTACCGGGGGCCCTTTGACACTCAATGGGTCTGTAGTGGTGGTACATTTAGTTGAATTCATTACGGTGATGTTTGATGTCGTTGCTGATGGATTATTGACTGCAGGAGTCGTACTATTGGATTTAGATATAAGTCTCACCGTGGTGGAAGTGGTGACGTTTTGTGTAGTTGTTTCTGGAAGACTAGATGATGTTGACAAATTATTGTTGGACAAGTTTGAAGAATTATCTGTAGTAGAGACATTAGTAGTTTCTGACACTGTTGTTATGGAAGCATTAATTGGTAACACTGTTGAATTTATTACGCTCTCATTGCTCGGCAGAATATTAGAGCGATTATTAGATAACGTGGTGCTACTTGGCGGGGTGGTTGTAGGTACAGATTGTGTGTTATTTATAACCGTATAATTTGAGACACAAACTGTCTGAGTTTCTGTATTAGGAGAAGATTTTTTGCTTCCTTCTGTAAATGTTGAAACAATTTCGCACGGTATTTTAAGTATTTCTATTTTATTATTTTCTTTAACTCTTAGCGCACAGTATGCTTCGTCTTTTGGTTTTTCGTATGGCGTCTGATAACTTTGTCCCGTATTATATCTACGCCTATAGTAATCATCATAATAGTAGTGATCGTGATAATGTCCATGAGAACGACCCATGTTATATAATGTAAGACCAGTTAACAAATCTCCAAATCGACTATTAGAATTTCGATATTCAGTTATGTAGACATGTTGTGGAGCTGAATAAAACGTACTGTGGCCATAACCATATGGGCTACTTCCACTATATCCAGATCCAAACGCACTGTTCGTATTATAAGTATTGCTGTGGTAGTACGGATGAGAAGGATTTGTATTTGTATTTGAAGGGTGATAATTCTGTTTATTTATTCCCGATCCTGATAATCCTGTAGAAGTCGTCGGATAATTGTGCTTACCACTAGAACTAGATAATCCCGTTGATCCTGGATACTTGCTACTACTACCTGACCCTGAGCCAGACAACCAGGTTGATGCTGGGTACTTGTTGCTACTGCCTGACCCGGAGCCAGATAACCCTGTTGATGCTGGATATTTGCCGCTACTGCTCGATCCCGCGCCAGACAATCCCGTTGATGCTGGATATTTGCTGCTACTGCCTGATCCTGAGCCAGATAATCCCGTTGATGCAGGGTACTTGCTGCTACTGCCTGATCCTGAGCCAGATAACCCCGTTGATGCAGGGTACTTGCTGCTACTGCCTGATCCTGAGCCAGATAACCCCGTTGATGCAGGGTACTTGCTGCTACTGCCTGATCCTGAGCCAGATAATCCTGTTGATGCAGGGTACTTGCTGCTACTGCCTGATCCTGACCCAGATAACCCTGTTGACCATGGATAGCTACCGCTTCCTAAACCGGATAAGCCAGTTGAAGCTGGATATTTACTGCTGCCTGATCCTGATCCAGATAATCCCGTTGACCCTGGATATGAACTCAAACTTCCCGATCCGTGATTATTACTCTTCCAAGGCGACCATGAATTTGTATTAGATCCTGAACCGGATAAACTAGAAAAAGATGACGGATACGTATGTGACGAGCCGGAAGAAGACGAGGAGGAGTGGCTAGGTTTGTAGCTCGTTGATGGTTTGCTGGCTGAGCTCGAACCCCATCCTCGACTATAACTTGAACTTGATCTTGAACCACTCGAACGTCCAGAGGAACCGAATCTTTTACAATCCGAATAGTTTAAAACTAGGTAAAATAACAGAAGGCACAACAATATCTTGTTGGCCATTATAATAACACACACGTCTGCTCTCCGTTACAAAACTACTTATAATGTTATGCGTATTATTAAACCCAATCAATATGACGTCATGTTTCTGAGAATATCATAACATACTTTCCTGCTTGGCTCTACTATAATTTATTGATAAATGTGGGGCAAAGGCGAGCGAAAAGATAAATATGTACATTCATCTCGTTTATTTCTACATCTTAATTATTAGAGTTTTTTGTCGAGAATTTTATTGTAAAATCTATTCATATAATAAAATTCTGAGTCGAATCTGTACAATGTATATTAAATATTTTTTTGGAAAATCTTATTGAAATAGTCATTATTATCTCTATATATACATAGGCCGAATTTACAGTTTTTAGAATTTTTGTCTGTCTGTCTGGGAATGCATCACGAGAAAACCACTGGACAGATTTTGTTGAAATTTGGTATGATGATAGCTATTTATCTGGGTCAACATAAAGGATACTTTCTACTGCGGGGAAATATATCGTCTCTAAGAAGTCTATACAAAACGTTAAAACATAAGTAACGACGACCCCAAGCGGAGCGAGGGTGAGATGCTAGTATACATATAGATATAAACTTATGTTTATGTTTTGGTATCTCACAAAAACAAATTCTGATAAGTATATTTTCATATAAAATATAAAGTCATTACAAGAACACACATTACAAAATAATATAGCTAATTAATAAAAGTATTAAAATCAAATTAGAAGGCATCAATCAGTACGTCATTAAACATTTTTTTCCGTAGCTATTTCTAGATTTTATTATGCTACTGTTACTTGGTCAGTTTTTTTTCAAAAATGATCACGATGATGATCCTAAAAACTATCAACTTTCATTGGTATTTTTAAACATATTAAATAGACTACCGTAACGCGTACACTGCCTAATATGACTTATTAACAGTGCTCGGTGTTCTTCATCAAATCAATTTATCCACAGAAAATATGTCATCTTGACCATTACAACGCTATTTGAGAGTCTAAAATTTAGACTTAAAACACGAAATGCTTTTCAGTAATGTAAATAGGGTGTTTATTGATTTAATATCTCACTGGCTTCTTTTGCATTGTTTATATAATGTTAAGATTTTTTATAGTCGTTTCATTCGTTTTTTACACAGTCGGGTTTTTTTATAATTTTTTTTTTAGTTGTGGCCAGTTTTCAGAAATTTGGGAGATGTTTTCACAATTCCATACCCCATTTCACTTTTAAACATATACTCGTAAGTCGTGTATATTTTTATGATCGCCTCTTAAAAACTTTATTTTGATACTCTACTCGATAGATTTGGAAGAATTTTTTTTATAGACACAAATTGACCTCTGAAATCAGCCATTTTAATTTTTAATAATAAGTATATACATATCCTATGAAGGCGAATCTAATATTTAACATATGAATCATCAAAATCGTTTAATCCGTTTAGTAATTAAGAGAGAAATAAGATCGGACATACAGACAAATACATATGTACAGGCCAAACCTATAACCCTCCTTTGGGCTTCGCAGTCGAGTGAAAAAGGCAGGTCCCTGCATGGCGTTTACTGAAAAACACATTGTAGTATGGACAACACCGTGTTGATAGAGTCGAAGCAAAGTTAGTGGCGAATTACTAGCATACATTAAATATTGGAATTTTTCTACGTAGTTTTAAATATAGGTTCTATGTTTATTTATCATGAAAACAACATAAAATATTACTGCGCTTAATATTTCTTTTTATATTTTTCTAGATAGCAATGATAGTGAATGTTTACGTTAAAATCAACAATATTTTGTTGTTTTATTATTTTTACATAATGATTACAACATATTTTTATTGTCGTGACAAGTTTCACTTCGAAACTAATAATTCGTATATTTATTGAATAACTAGCAGAATCCACGGCTTTGCTCACACTAAAACTACGAAAAATATTTAAAAAGGTAGTTTCAAACAAACTTTCATCCCATATTTCACCCCCTTATATGATGAATTTCGAAAAATGTCAAAACACGTATTTATTTAATTTTATTGAAGAGCATTAATACCAAGTTTCAAGTAATTCTGATCATAAATATTTTTTTGGATTGTATTATAACGTGTTTCCCGTGAGAATTAGATAATATCCCGCGGTAAAGATTTTGTTCGAAGATTACATTTCCCTAGTCCCCATGAAAATCAAAAGATTATTGCAAAAATTAAAAATAAAAAACCAAGAAAAAATAAAAACCGATTTTTTTGTAAACATCTCCAAAACTTTGAGGTTATTTTAAAAGTTCTAAATTTTAAAATCTATAAAAGTTGTAAATTTTTTTATAACCGGAAATTGAAAAAAAATATTTTTCAACGCTTTGCATCCTCATCATTGCATTTCTCGGGGGTAACTGAACATTGGGGACATAAAACTTCAGGTTTTAATATATGTTTTTTTTTAATTTATATTATTTATTTTTATAAAATAGTTGTTAATGCGATCGCTAAACAAATTAGTGTATCGGAAAATAAAAATAATGTGAAATAATACACATAACTCTAGAAAACAAATATAATATGGCTGGTCTACTACAAAAATCAAACAGTGTGACAAAGAGTCGTAAATTGCAAATCTCATCCCATAATCATTGTCTGTGAAGGCAATTCTTGCTTCACTTTTTGCCGCTACAAAAACCATGACAATCATTTTAAATCATGACGCTGTATCAACTGTACATTTAAAATGTTACTTGCACTGTTACTCATAAACATTTTATATTTCGTTGCGATCAAATGTCAAGAATTACCAAAGAAAACTAAGCCGTATTTAGTGGTGCCTTTTCCTTTGGAATTACCCAATAGAAATGATCGTTCAGAACAATGCTGGCTCAGGATAGAAGATATTGATATAAGCGAAACCCTCACCATATATTGTCATATCGCTCAAGTGTTTCTTCATCATTACATTCATGAGTATAACACTCGAAAAATAATGGAAGACGGGATTGATGTCAGTCTTTGGAGGGAAGATCCAGGAGTTAAAGAAATAATTCCTATGCCCAGGAAGAATGAAGGAGGTGTTGTTGACTGGAAACTGACCACAATAAAAGATCCCGTGACCAATCAACGGTTGTACGTAACGAAGAACGCCGACTGCAGGCTCATAATGTACAGCCGAGAAGGGATGACAAACTATCAAGTGCAATGTGAAAAAATATTATACTATATTAATTTCCACATGAACAATAGTGCCGCTCGTATTGATAATATTAACGTGCTAGTAATAATTTTTATTGTGCCCTTACTGTATTCTATTATATAGAATTTATTTAAATGTGCATAGTTTTCTTCTATTTGCGAATTATTTATTTTTAACTAATTTCTTTCCGCTCGCTCGGCTTTGCATTTGTAAAACTTCGACCAAAAAACCTATGTTGCTTAAAATAGCTAGCGTTTAGCTGATTAATTATTAAATAGTTAATTAATTCGACTGATGATAATTAAATTCCTCGTATTGTTTTGTCTTGGCTCGGAAAAACACCTGACCTATAACACAAACTTCCTCTTGTGCGGGCATCGAATCTGGGATCTTCGACATAATAGGCATAGTCAGGCATAGAATACGCCAAAAATTTAATATTATATATGTTTATAATTATGTGTAATTTTAAATTATAAATTATTTAAATTATATACATATATATAATTATTAAGTAACTAAAGCATATAAGTAACATTTTGATTTACTCGTATAATTTACCTCTTATATCTCTATTTATACATAATTTTCCTTACGTATCTTCTGCATTGTTATTAATCGTTTCAGGAAAATCATTTAGTGTTATTTTACATATGTATACTTTGTACAAATAGAATTGATGTTTAACTACAAATATAGGCATGTATCTGATTCTTGACGTTTGATTTCATCAACACACAACACCATCTAGTTCCATGGTAAGCTACGAGGCCTGTGTTATGGATACCAGATAGTTGATACACTACACTTATATAAACTTTAAATACATACATATTATAAATATAAACACCCATGACTGGAGTACAAACATTCGTGCTCATCACACAAATGAATGCCCCCAGCGGGACTCGAACCCGCAACCGCTGGCGCAGCAAGTAGGGTCACTACAAACTGAGCCAATATGTTAGTTGCTACCATAAGATTGATTGCGTATTCCTAAATGAAGCCACTTTAGACAATCTCAATGATATTGATAGAATGAATGGAATTTTGCACATGAAGGCCGTGACAGCAAAAGAATCAGTCATCAGTTTCCATCTGATTTTTTCACGCAATTTGCTTAAAAGTTAATAGTTATTCTTTGCTAAATTACAGTTAGATTTAAACTATTAAAATAAACTAGTTATAAACTTTTGATTACCTTAATTTATGGTATTGCAGAAAAATATTATACTATTAGCTAATAGACTACTTGATTCTACCTGTTATTAATGCATCATAACGTGTTTTGCTGAACTGTGGTTAAAAACATAAAATATTTTTTTTATTGCTCAAGACCACAATAGGGCACATAATTTTTATTTATTATGTACTAGCATTGCCGGCGGCTTCCTTCGCGTTCAGATGACCAAAAACAAATTCTTAGGTTTTACATATTAGTATACACTTACAATGCAGTTTTTGTATTTTTTCTCAAAAATGAGATATTTTCCCGAGGTAAAAAGTATCCTATATGTTGACCCGAATAACCAGCTATCACCATACCAAATTTCATCAAAATCCCTCCAGTGGTTTTTCCGTGATGCGGTAACAGACAGACAGACAAACAAAAATTTTAAAAACTATAGTTTCGGCCTCTGTATCGATAATAATGTCTATTTCAATAAGATTTTCCAAAAAATATTTAATGTACAGATCGACTTAGTTACATTTTTATTATATGTATAGATTTATTAGATCATTCAAAGATATAATATTGGAGACAATAGGAATATGATGTCATACCGTATGTGAGTTATTATGTTTCGAAAAAATATTATATGCAGTGTAGTTTACTTAGATAACAATTATGTATATAATTGAACAGTTAATATAATTTACTAGCATTGCCCGCGGCTCCGCCCGCGTTCAGATGACCAAAAACTAAATTCTTAGGTGTTACATATTAGTATACTCTTACATTGCAGTTTTTGTATTTTTCCTCAGAAATAAGATATTTTCCCGCGGTAAAAAGTATCCTAGGATCGCGCGCTACATCGCCCGGTTTATATAGCTTGAGCAGGCGGTCGAGCGATGCGGGGCAGAGGGGATGGACTCGCCGTAGGCATCTCAATGCTCGCCAAGCATTAAAAATGTTTCGCTACTAATTACTTCTAACAACGATATCTCAAAAACTATTCATCTGATTGATTTAGTGTAAAGAGCAATTTTAATCTGCATTAAATGACTAAGCTAACTAAAATATTCATTTGGATAAGGATTAATACCGAACTAAAGAAAATAACTTTGAAAATAACGTAATGTTTTTAATTAAAAATGTTAACATAAAAGTGGTTATTGTAAGTCAACCGTAAGAGATAGAGATATGCTATCGCGGACTTTTTTGTAGCATTTTTATAGATTTTGAATTCTCTAGTACATTACTTAACTGTATCTTTGCTAGTTTACGCGGCGTTCGCGTGGAAAGTTCCCATTTGGCGAGATTTTTTGCGACCTCTTCAACATTTGTCGCCGTATTTCAGCTAATTTACATAAAAGCATAATAAATTATATACCTAAACCTTCCTCAAGAATTACTCTTTCTATTGTTGAAAACCGTATAAAAATCCGTTCAGTAGTTTTCGAGTTTATCGCGTACAGACAGACAGGAGGACAGAAAGACGCGGCCGGGGGACTTATTTTTATAATAAGTATAGATAGATTAACAAAGTGGATAATAATTTAATTATAATATTAAATAGCTAGTTGGACTTTCTCAGCTCTAAAAATAAAAATGTACGTTGTGAGTAGTATTATTCAGCCCTTTTTAATATCCCACTGCTGGGCACAAGCCTCCCTTTAATACGAGAGGGATCAGGCCATAGTCCACCACGCTGGCCAAAAGCGAGATAACGAACTTCACATGTCTTTCCAAAACTTGCTAGATTCTCTCAGACATGCAAGTTTCCTCACGATGTTTTCTTTCACCGTAAGACAAGTGGTAATCATGTTAGAAATGATTCGTACATGAAATTTGAGAGTGCGAGACCCGGGATTTGAATCCACTTCACTCGGTTTCCCTAGCGAGCGCGTTACCACTGGGCTACCACTGCCTTTTTTGAGAAATAACTTAATAACCAGTTTTCTTGTAATACTCGTATTTATTATACTAACACCATTTTTTTTTATATAGATAAAGTCGCATTAATAGCGTGATTAGGAAAATATTTTGGATTCAAATAATGGACTTTAGCGAAGAAATAATATTATTTTCATGTCATAAAATGAAAATTTACAATTGTTCAAACAAAAATAATATATCTGTAATATATTTCCATCGTAACGCAGCTTGTATCTTATACATTTTAAGACGAAGTTTTTTATCGTTGTAAACTTCAAATTCATATACCTTTGGGTAGTTTCAATTTAAGTATAATAATTTAAATTTTTAAATAAAATCGGTCAAGTGCGAGTTGAATTCGCACCCGAAGGGTTCCGTACCATCGTACATGTACTTTTTAATTACATCACTTTTACTATATGTACGTTTTTTTTTTAATTAATTTTTTTTTTATTATTTATTGTTACAGCGACAATAGAAATACACACTCTGGAAAATTTCAACTCTCTACCTATTACGGTGCATGAGTTACAGCCCTCTGACAGACGGACAGCGGAGGCATAGTAATAGTTGGTTGGTTCCGTTGGCACCCTTCGGGTACGGAACCCTATAAATCAACCCAAAATCTCCCTTAAAGTGGTCCAGTATTTCTTTCGAACAACAGTTATTATTAATATGAGCAAACATCATAATTTTCGAACATTTTTAATATAATATGTATATAAACACATATTCAGAAAATTATATCTACATATTTAATATTATAACACTTAGATATGCAGATCAAAAACAGTATTAGTTATTACTTATACAGCGACGCTTTCATTTATAAACACAGTTACGATTCTAATGATAACGATAACCAGTGAGGCCGTTATTGTATCCATAATTCTGTACGGTACTTGGCCAAGGTGCAGGATAATTTCGTGCAGGTTCAATTCTAGATCCTGATAAGCCTGATGAAGAAGGATATGTGGGTTTATTGTTACCGGTAATACTTGAAAATGGTCGATAAACTTGGTTGCCCACAACAGGAAGCCCTGCCCTGGAAAGTCGATTACTTGATGGATATCCGGAACCTGTTGAAGAACCGGATGGAGGATAATAACTTCCTGTAGACGTTCCTGATAGTCGTGATGAAGAAGGGTATAAACTCCATGGTGAATTCAAGGTATGCGATGTGCCAGAAAGCCCTGACTCAGATGGAGGGTAACTGTGTCCAGTATTGTAATATGATGGTGGAATACTCACTGAACCCCATCGTCCATTATAATTCGTACCCGAATGCCTTCGATACTTCTTACATTGAGTATAATTTAGAGTTAAAAACAGAAGCACAATAAACAAAAATAATTTCCTAAACATATTATTCTTATTTTTAACTTATAGATGTATTTTTCACAACAAGGTATTTTAACAACGAAAAGAATGCAATGTCTTAAAGAAGTTTCACAATAAATGTTTCTTTTGTCTAACAAACATGGAAATATTGTTGTTCTTTATTAAATATGTAATTAAAATTCAATTACTATCTCTTGATGACCCACAAATCTTAATCACTGGCCACTGTAAAGTGTATTAGAAATAGTCAACAAAAAACAAAAAAAAAAAGTTATACCATGAAGTATTTATTTAGTTTGTAATTCTGACTAAACTACCAAGTCATCTAATATATCGAGCATCTATATAAGCATAATTTATTGAAATTCAGTATTATGTATTATTGAAATATTATTTCTGTACGCTTACTGTATTTAAAATTACTTTAAGGGTAACCCAACAATAGGAGTGGATTTTTTATACTTATATAGGTACTGCGACCTTTGAATAATTATACAGGCTTATCATATAAATTTTTTTTAGATTACGCACACCTGGGTGTATCCGAACATACCTCACGTATGTTCCGCGATTTTTCGTAGTTTAAAAGTTATGGTTTTTTTAATGTGTATTTGCGTACTTTCTACCGGAGCAAATTAAAAAATCACAAGACATTAAAATTTAAACTATCGAAGTTAGTATTAGACTCTCACAATAAGTAACTACGCATATTGCAGAAGCAAATTAAGCCAAGTCTACATCTGTGCTAGAAGATTGCGAGCTTAGTTGTATTGTATCCTTTGTAATAGGTTGAATTATAATATATACATAACTAAGGTTTAAAGAAGATAAAAATATCGTTTATTTCGGAGATTGTAGAAAGACATTTTGTCTCACAATTATCACATAAATAAATAAATAATATAAATAAATATGTTAGGACATTTACACACAGCACCATCTAGTTCCATGGTAAGCTACGAGGCTTGTGTTATGGATACCAGATAGTTGATATACTACACATATATAACTATTAAATACATACATATTATAAATATATTATATAATCCAAAAACTTTGTAGTGTATATGAAAATTGGCGATGGAATCAAAGAAATTGTCGTTGGAATTTAGAAAATCCACGCGTATACCGATGTAAGAAGTCCAAACATTACGTTTTTTTATTTGAACACCGACCAATAAGCCTTTTATGTTCCCCGCTAACCTTACTACATACTATATTGCTTCTTGTCGAACTAACAGCGAACCGATATTTTCGTCACGTAGTTCAGAAGGTGATTTCCCGACTCCATAATTCACTGTGACATAGTTTGTGAAAGTAAAATTTTTCTTTTTAAAATTACTTTCGAATCATGATTCCGATATTTTTCTCTTTTAAGTAAAATATTTTGACTTATTCAAGATTCTGTCAATCAAAATATTATAATTATTTTTTAATTTTTTTCCACAAGTTACGAGTACTTTCTCTGGTTAGCTTTAATTTAAGCAATTTGTTGGAATTGTCATATTTTTCGGGGAAACAATACTTTAAATCTTAGAAATTGGAAAATTTAAAGAAAAAGGTACAATAAAAAAGTTAAACTATAAAATTAAAAACTCAGACCGCGTAGAAATCAAACTATTATACAGGGTTTAGTAATTACGAAGGAACATGGGAACGCACATACAGAGATATGTACATACACATAAAGTCCTTTGAGCAGTGAGTTTTAACGCAATCGAGTAAAACATACTGCTGAAGATGTGAAAAACGTATATGAAGAACTATTGGTTAATTCAATTAAGTAAATGTTTCAGATCCAATCTTTGGATGCAATTAATTATATAACAAGTTTACTAGGAACTTATATAGTTTCCATTGTATCACTTTAATAATAATCATTAGGTAATGGCCTCACTGATAAAGTCTACACCATCGATGTGAGGCAGTGGTATAAGTTAATAGAATGCCATCTAATTTACGACGTTAAACGTTCATGGTCGATGAACGTAATTATTACATTTCCAATGAACTCAAAGCAAGCCCTTAGGGCATTACACTAATAAATTAAATTGTAAAGGACATTTGTAGAGTTTAAAAAATATATAATAAACATATGAATATAGTCGGATAATGTTTGATGTGTCTTTGCATCTTACATAACATAAGTTTATTATACGGTATCTATACATACTCGTATAATAAAATTGTAACTAAGCCGAATCTGTACATTAAATATTTTATGGAAAATCTAATTGAAATAAACATTATTATCGATACAGAGGCCGAATTTATAGTTTTTAGATTTTTTGTCAGTCTGTCTGTCTGTTACCGCATCACAGGAAAACCACTGGAGGGATTTTAATGAAATTTGGTATGGTGATAGCTGGTTATCCGGGTCAATAAATAGGATACTTTTTACCGCGGGAAAATGTCCCATTTCTGAAAAAAATACAAAAACTGCAATGTAAGAATATACTAATATGTAAAACCTAAGAATTTGGTTTTTGGTCATCTGAACGCAGGCGGGGCTGCGAGCAATGCTAGTGTTGTTATTATATTGAACCTAATTCTAATTATATTGATTTGCCTTGAACAACTGCTTCAGGAAACTCCTGCGCAGCAAGGGTTTTCAAAATATTGTCGAAGAATGGAGTAAGAAGATATGTGCATATTAAAAAAAGTCTGTTAGAGTTGAAGCGAAAAAAGGTAAAGATAAAAAAATATAGTTAAAATTTTATTTTATTCACAAAATAATACCTTCACAATTTATTTTCATTCCGCCATGTCATAAAACTTGGAATATACTAGGCAGATAATATAAAAAATACTATTCGCTGCAAAGCCAAATAGCATACGGTTATGAGGAAATAAAATTTACAGTATAAAGTTAGCAAAAGAAAATGTTTCCAGTTTTTTTCATAATCTCAAAAATTCTGACATAAAGTATAAAATTTATACATATGACGTATAGTAAAGAGATATATATATATATATATATATATATATATATATATATGTGTATATATATATGAATATCTGCATATTATGGAAATTAAACCAAAAAAAAATAAAAAGCTTTTATTATCACATGTAATATGAAATGAAATCTGTGAAGTCCATTTCAATCTACATAATTCTAATTAATCAAATTGATTCAAAAGATCTCTATGTAATCTATATGAATTCCGGTTGACTATACAATAAATTGATACCATAAAATTGATAATTGGATACTTAGAACCTTTTTGTGGCTAGTGGATACTCCTAAGTTTGGGCTTATTTGATTCGTTTAGACGAGTCCCATACAAAACAGTTGGTCAAAATGCCCGAGGCTAGAGACCTTATTCACTACGGTAGTCATTATTTCCTATTTCATATAAGCCATGTTTTCAAATAGATAAATTATATGCCAAACATGAGGTAAATTCGAAAAACGAATTTTCTAAACGAAGTCAATGCACAGCTTTGACCTCGATCCGCTTTTATTAGGCAGCTAGAGCTCCCCCCCAACGTGCGTTCACCTTGTCGTGGTGGGGGGGCTCAGTAGTAGTAGCGAAGCTAAGAAACGCACAGGGAGGTTGCCCACTTCGGTGAGCGGTGGGAGGTGGCCCTCTTCGGGGGGCGGTGTACCTTGCGGGTTGCTCCTGGTACTTCTCTGATAGCAGAGTGGACCTTGGAGCAACCCCATGGTTGTGTTGGTCTGCTTCGGCAGACCTGCCGTCGGGGCGTCGTAGTTGAATGCGTAAGCGATCCTGCGACGCCCCATTAAGACGGGGGAAGGTTTTGTTGGGTTTTAGTGGGTAGTACTGGCTGTATTACGCCGGTGAGTCCCACACGTCGTGCGTAAATGCATTTCCCAACGTTAAAAAAAAAAAAGGCAGCTAGAGCTACTACAGCCACTATAGCTACTACACATAGGTACTTGTACGGATCTACCTTTTGTAAGCTTATTCAGGCTTAAAAACCGTCTTTTAATTCTGGTAGAGATTGAACCTACGGTCTTCTTTTAGTACCTAAATATAAAACCTAGTGATACAGCTACAGGTGTGATGTGATATATTGTTATGCATAATAAATCATTGAAAATTATAATTTATAATCTTAAAGCTTTTTTATGTTTATTGAAGTTTGTGACTTTAAAGCACAGTTTGTGTTTTTTTATTTATGTTACAAAATATTGTTTCTTTATCCTTATTTAAAAAAAATGTAAATTTCAAATGAAACTCATTTTATCAAATCCAGTCATTTACTTGTATGCTACCAAAATGCTAACAGGTTTTTATTTTATTATGTCTGTACTACTGTAGCAGTACATGGCATAACTTAATAGTTCAGTGGAACGGAAAACTTTCCAAAAGATTCAAAGATCGAATGGAATTACATAGAATAATAGAAAAAATAGAAGTAACATGGAAATTTTAACATTATTTAAAATGGCAATTTATTCGAAATCACAATATGGAACTACATATATATGTGAAGTTGTACTATTGTCGCTTAGTAGACAGTGTGTAACGTCTTTACATGAAAAATAATATCATTAAAAATAGTATGTTTAAAAAATGCTTAACACATCCAAAACATTTTTGAGAAAGAAATTTAAATTACTTGAAAATATTAGAATTTTGGAATACTTTGTTTATTCATAAAAAAAGGCCGCAGTGTACAGAGTTCACTTTCATTTCGTAGCTAAGAGAAGATTATGAAGAAGAAGCGTAAGTGCAATTAGTGGCGGAAAATGCTCAAAGACTGAGCTTAGCCAAAATTGTGCGTGTACTACATTTGTTCGTGAACCGCCATGAGTGACTATCGTGAACAAAAAGCAATAAGACATAGTGCAAAAGACATATCGAAATTTTGAATAAAGCGTTGAAAGTTTAAATTTTTTAATTATTTTTCGAAATATGCAAAAAGATAATAATTTTAAATATAAATTAAATGTAAATGATATCAATTTTTTGAAAAATGTACCTACAAGTTTTTTTTTAAATTTTCGGTAAATAAAAAAAAAGCATTTTCGATAACGCGAAGAAATTTTTTTT